TGTAGGGCGCTGGTTGTTTGCTCGAGTAAAATTCAACAAAGTGGGCCCTTGTTTTTCCTTGGGCGCTGCGGAAGCTGACCATTTGCGAGATGTTTGATACCAAATCAGTTCAATCGAATGGTGAACGCCGTGCTATTTAAAATCTGCACAAATTTGTACATCTAAAAATGCTATTAAAGTTGAAGTTGCTAAAAAAAAATACTTTTCGATTTCTTCAAAAGAATTTTAACGTGGATTCAGAAACTATGCGAGAAAACCAATGCTCGGAAAACGAATTAAAATGTCCAAATTTCAACTCTTAATTGGAAATTTTATAATTATTTTTAAAACAGATTAAAATTTCTGTTTTAAAATAATTAATATTTCCACTTAAAACTAAAAAATTAAGACAAGCGGCAACGCAAACACGACACAACTCTACACTAAAAATTTACAAAAAAAAAAACACACTCACACTAACAAATTAACAACATTTTTTATTTCCTATTAATTTATTATAATTTAGCACTATATGAACAGTTTTATGCCAATTTTCCTCTCCTATACTGAAAATAAAACTAATAAACAATTCTCCAAATTTCCGCTTACAGTTAATTTCCCATAATTTATATAAAACTTGAACACGAAATTAATAAAGTTCGCATTTTATTCCAATTAATAATTATGAATTGTCCTCTCTTCTTGGAATCACCAAAGTTTGCCGCGTTTTCGCCAGAAGCCTCTGGCGTCTCTTTAAGAAACAGCGCCTTTGTTTCTCGGAGTTGCGATTGACTGAGAGTTTGGGAAGCGCGCAGACTTTGTTTTGGGTCCATTGGAAGGAACAATTGATTGAAGACGCAAGCTGGGGTGCAGTTGCCATGGCGACGCGCTGAAACTTTGAGAGATGGAGACGAGCTGGCTGTGCTGTGTGTCAGAATTCTGGCTGGATGGCGTTGTAAGCCCTAATGCTATGGAAGCGCGCGGATTAGCATTTAAGCTTTCGTGCTGCTGTCGGGGCTGACTGAGAGTTGTATTTGGAAAATATTGTGAAACCTTTTATGTACTCTCCGCTGATGCCTTCGCATTGATGAAAGGGGGAGTAAAGCTGATCAAAACCACCCTCGCGTTTTTCTGCCCAGATAAATAAATGTATCTATCTCTGTGTACAGCCCTCTCTGTGCACGTCTTTTCTGTATGGGCCAGAGAAGTAGAGTTATGGGGCGGTGTCTTTATGGCTTGGAATTTTTTGTTAGTATTATTGGAGAGAGTCAAAATATTTGTACTCGTCAAAGTCAAACAAAAAATCGTTTATAGAATTTTTTTTGCAAAGAAATGACAGCATCATAGAGTTAAAATTTTTCATAATTTATTTCTTAACCTTTCCTATATACATGAGTTACGCATATTCACTGTAATCTACATTTTTGTAGTTTTTGTGTTTAAAAAGTAAAAAAAAAACTTGGAAAATTGAGATTAATCTGTGGTTATCTGAAATCTGAATCAGAAAAGAAATAATTTAATTTGGATTAACCATAAAATTAAAATATTAAATGTTACAAATCTAATTTTCTATCCTGATAAGCGTATTTTCTTCAAGGCAAATCGAATCATTTACAAAAATTATGTAAATCATTATAAGCCTGAAATTTGTCATAAAAAAGCAGATTTATTTAATTTTGATTAATTTATTTAATTTTTCATTAAAATAATTATTGTAAAATTATTAAAAATTTATACAAAGAAATTAATAGAGAAAACAAAGTTCAATAAAGAAAGTAAAAAGTAGGGACAACTCGCAACTCTGGATATTATATAATATAACTTTTCTGAATATATCAAACGATCAGGAATCTGCTTCAACAAAGAAGTGAAACCAATCTAAAAACGTCAACAGAAAACTTGGCAAGCACACAGCAGCCGGCGCAAGAGGATCGTTTCACTCTCCCGCTCGCTCGCGTTCATCCAATTTTATTCACACAGAAAAGTTTTCATTTTTCCAATTCACAAGAGAGCACATGCTCTCTCCCTTAGCCGAATGCGGCACCTTTAAATTCGTTAAAATCCATCACACACACATAAGAGCAGGACGGCTGTGGCTCTTTTTTTGAATTAAAAATGAAGATATGCATCTCTTATTTATAAGCTCAGATCAAGCGGCGATAATAATTTCATTCGGATAAAAGGGCGCGCGCACAACCACCTACGAATTTATTTTACCACCAACTGTTCGGCCTGTCACGTTTTGACGGTGCGCGGCTACCGAAATTTTCCTATTAAGAAGCAGTCACTCTCTCACATCATTTGCTCCGCGAGTTAGTTGAATCCTTGCTTTATGAATTATATCTTTTTACAATTTAACAAAAATTTAATTTAATAATTGCGAGTTTTGCTGTTTTGCACAAAATTTCAATTATTTTTTGTTACAGAGAATTGATCTTTTTAATCATCATTTTAAAATTCGATAAAACCTGATAGAATAAAATTCGTATTGGATCCCTCTTGCAATCCCAGTAATCAACCTTATAATTAAATCATTTCTTAGAAAATAAATAATTTTATTAAATGGAGAAAATTGTGTGCTTGAATTAAAATAAATTCGTATTGATTGTACTTTTGCTATTTTTATATATTTTATTTTTCCATTTTTTAGGAAATTAATTATCACAAATTATCTCGACTCAGTTATGAGACTTGTGTTCAGAAACCTCTCTCGCAACCCTCCTCAACCCCTGCTCAAATATATAGTCCGTTTTTTTTTATCACAGATTTTTACTCATTTCTGTGCGGAGACCCTGGCGTCCGCTGCGTTGCTTGCGACACATGAGATGCGGCCGCGTGCACTTCAGGGGTCGTCGAGTGAGATGATGGATCACTGTTGGTCGGCTGATGTCAACCGCAGATAGCCGGGGATCAAACTTTTGAACCTCGCCGCTGCTTTCTTGATGGAATTTTTGCTCGAAAAGAGACCCAAATCTCTTTTTTCGGCTTTCGCCTGAAAGCAAAAAGGGATATTTTATGAAACAAACTCTTCAAGTTTTTGTGGGTATAGTAAAAAAATGAAAACCCATGCACGATTGAAAATTTAGAAATAATAAATTGTAAAGTAAAATAATTTCGTATAATTGTTTAGAGATGAAAATTATTCTCAAGACTTCTTGCATAAAACTAATTCTTCTTTGAAATAAAGAGGAAAAGGATTTGAAGTATTGATTTTTTTTTGTATAAATTTCTTTAATTACTTCATAGAATATTGAGATATGAAAACATTTAGTTCCATTCAATTGATCCAAATTTGATTATATTTAATCTAAAATGCTTGAACTTTAAACATGAATTTTTTAGACTCCCTCCTTATACTGCTATAAAATGTATGTTATAAAAGCCCTATTATGAGACAAGAATTATTTACTCGTACTCTTTTATAATAAATATTAACTAATTTAACTGTGCAATACGTTTGAAAGGAAGAGATTTAATAGCAAAATCAGAGCATTTCTTTAATTTCTTATATAGCTTTCATGTTGATAAATTTTTATTAACGATATCATTTTGGTTTTTTAATTTCACAACAAATTCGAAAAAAACAATATTTGTTAATCTTGAATTAAATATATGTTTTCGAAAATTTTATATCATTTTTAATAGCTTTAAAAGATTAATTAGAGCGAAATTGCTGCGGCAAAAGATATTATCTTATAAATTTGACGGTTTTACCTAAATTACTTAAAGTATTTGCGTTGCCGTTTTTTTTTCATCACAACACATCCCTGCACAGCTAAATTTTCAATAATTTCGTTTTCAATTTTTGAAGTTGAAATGAACACAAATTACTTGCGGAGAAAAATAATCAAAGTTATAATTCCGGTTATGCAACGCGCTGGGCATGCAAGCGCGAGTAGTTTGCAGGGCGATCAGGGGTCGTGGTGGCCCCGAAAAAGGGCCCGTCTCAGTACTCACTTTTGTGCGATCGGCGGCCGGGCAGGTCGTCGGCGCGTCGGGCCCGGGTCGGCCGACGAGGCGAGACCGAGCGCCGTCGGAGTATCTGGCGGCGGTGGCGGCACGTCGAACAATGGCTTCCCGCGAGAACCAATAACTTTGAAGCAGCCGAGTGCAGAGGGACCATTCAGGCGAAAGTAATTACCAGACCCCGCCCTCGCCGCGCTCCGCACTGTCACCAGCGCACATCATCCCTGCCGGGGAGAAGCAGAAGCGGCGCGACGCACCCCTAACCAAGCAAGGGTGCGAGGGCGCACGACCCCACCACTGGAAGCAGAGGGTGGGTGCAACCTCGGAAACGGCACATGTGACGCATGCATGCTGCTCTCTTAAGTAAAACAATCCAAGCTGGATGAAAGAAATAAAATTTAGAATAAAATTTAAACTGAAAAATTTGTGATATCAAATAATTCTCAAAATATTAGATTGAGAATGTAAAATTTGCAGCGCATCAAGTATATTAGTGTTTATCAAGAGGCTACATTTCATAATCTTTAAATGTATATTACAGTTGTTATTATTAACCCCTTTTTTAACTCATTAAGTTTAATACAATTTTAATGAACATTTTGCAATGCCAATATAATATAGAGAACATGGAAGAATCGTACTAATTCAAAATTTAGAGGTAACAATGATATAATTCTATTCTATATTTATTATTAATAATCTCAATTAAAGTAGCTTGCTGTTCGCAGGGATCATCAGAAAAAAAAATGATAATGAAACTGAAGAGGATAGAATAAATTTTTATATTATACATAATTATTGCTACTTACTATAAAATTTTAAATTACCAAACTAGCATTTTGATTTAAATTAAAAAATTAGCAGCTTAACATTCCATTCTATAACATTTGCCAACCTTCTATAACTAATAAAATAAAATATTATATTTTATTGCAAAATTAAAGATAATTTAATAAAAGAATAAAGATTTAAAATAATAATAAAAATAAGAGAATATTATTTCTATGGTAAATGTTTTATAAATTAAATATATTTTTTTATTAACTCACGTGTAGCTGCCGAGGGTGCGTTTTGCACGTCGGGGTGCGATTCCAGTTCCGCCCATCGGTGGTGGCCGACTACCCCTCTCCGGCAGTGTCTGGCGGCGTGCAGAGGGGCCCCTCTTTCAGCGGCCACGGCTTTGGCGGCGGCAGCAGCCATCCACCCCCGAAGAAGGAAGGAGAAGTGAGCGCGTTATGCCGTGGCACATCATCAGGCAGGCACACACAGCTAGTGTAAAACTTACGGGTGAATGGAACGGTCATCCAAGTGTGTAGCTGGTGAGCCCGCTTGACTTGTCTCCGCAACGAGCACAAATCGCAGCACCAAGCCTCGTTGGCCACCGTCCGATTTTCCGCTGCACGTCCGAACCCGACGACCTCTGCCCCCGAATCTCTCCAACTGTTCTTTCGGACGACTGACTTTTCCACCGTTTCTCCGGCGACCCAGCGACCGGCAAACGACGCACCTTCAGTCTCGTGATCACCTTTTGCACCTCATGCTGGCTCACTGCTAAGGTCAGTTCAGATTTTTAATTTTTCTGAAGATAAAAAAATTAAAATTTTTTAACAAAAAATATCAACTCGTTTCTTTAGAAGTATTCATCACCGGTCGTGATGTGCTGAATGATTCTTTAAGTTGAAGAAATTTCCCTGTTTTTGTTAGACCGAAGATGAAAATAAAATCTTAATTAGGTTAAAATCTGAAATCCTTAAATTCGGAGATAGAAAGTTCAGCACTTGGAGTCACTGCGAATTATATTGGGCATTAAATTGTACATTTGGTGACTCCTTTGCTCAAATGAAAGATATTTTAATTAAAACATTTCAGTTTTGTTCACAAACTGATCTTTAAATTAAAATTTATTGTCATTCGAATCCCTTTTTCTCTTCTAACATGAAAGTATTATTCAATAAATTACACTTATTACAAAAATTACTAAATATATTCGTCTATCTCTTAAAAAAATGTCAATTTTGTTCTTCAGTTTTATTTTTGTGTGAGCCCCGTGACAATTTAATTGTCTCTAAACGAATGCCGATCGGCTTAATTAGATTCGAAATACCTTTAGAATCGAGGGTCGGAATTGAAAATGAAGTGACGCAGTAATCTTAAACCACCGCTTTCAAAGTACACACAATTCACGCATGCCGCTGTGGCGGATCGCGTTTCAAGCGCGCGCCTCAAATCGTATCTATTTGCAATTACACACCCAGAGACGCGCAAAAGAGCAAAAGACGGAGCACGCGGTTCATTTCGTATCAAATCACCTATGTTGAAAAAAGAGATTTTGATGATAGGTTTGGTTCGTGAATAGAAATTCTCGCCAATCAATAAAAAAGAAAACAGAATTTATGAAAACTGAGCAAATGTAACAACCAAAATTTCCACTTAATGCTAGAAATTTCAATTCTCCGCCAAAAATTTAATTGAATTAGTTTACTATTTATAACACCCTGAAAATTTAAAATTGAAAGAATAAACAAAAAATGATATAAAACTAAAATGTTATATAATAATTAATTTCGTTTAATTTTATATAATAAAGCAAAATAATATTTTTTTTTTATTTTAAGCAAATTTCCATTTTTAATGAATATGAAAAGTCTCATCAGTCAGTCTAGTGCATTTTTGCACTCAGACGTGGTGTTATCTCTTCCCACCTTGGTGACAATTAGCGGCGTTTTTTGAAGAGTGCAGACGCATTGTGTGGAGTGATAATAATTCACTGACGGCAAAAGCGAGCGACATCAGCACCGTGTAATATGCCATTTGTGTTGCACTTTTCTGAATGAATTAAACACATGTGCTCTTGTAACAGATTCACAAAAGGTGTGTTTGACTCGGGACAAACCATGAGAAATGCGGCGAGAGAGCATGAAAACATCGCCGCCGGACTGCAATTTTTTCTCTTCCTTGCAGGACAAAAACGCGGGGTCGCGCTCTCTTGAAAAAAGCTAAATTTCATTGAATCTTTTTGTCACACTCTCGGCACAAAGATTTCTCCTTTTAACTTTTGTCAAAAGCGGCGTTGCATTCATTCAGGAGAAAAAATACGCACACAAGTGAAATAAAAAATATAAATCCCGCGGGCGCAGAAAAACCACCTGAGTGCTCAAAAGCCTGTGGTCATAGCTTACAAACCAGAGAGGAAATATCATAAGAACGTCCAATGGGCCATTCATGCCTCTCAAAAGTCTGAAAACGTATTAATAGGGCGCACTGATGCAGAAAAGAGCAGGGATTATTCTTGTGCTTTTCCAAGACTTGACAATTATTTAAGAAAGAGTGACGCTTTTCCCTAAAAAAATTGTTAAAAAATAAATAAGGAAGATATCATATCATAAATGAATATTTCAAACTGCAATTATTAAAAAAAAAAAAAAAACACACATATTTTATTTACAGTCGGAACAAATCGTGATTTGTTGTTGTTTAATATTCTACTCAAGTCGTACATGAAATAAATTAAATTGGAAAAAATGAGCAGAAAGGGTATCACAACTAGCAGAGGTCTGCTAAAACGCCTGCGACATCATAAAGAGATCGGTCACCTCTAGAATTGTATTAAAAATAAATTACATTTTATTTAATTAATTAATAAAATCTTTATATTCTGATTTTTTGTACAAATTTTCCGGCTTCTTATTATCACATTTTATCGTTAGATAAAATAAAAATTATGAAAAAAAACTTTGATTATTCAATCTTATTAAGATAATCCGGCTAAAAATGATCTAGAAACAGAAATTATTGATACTTTGGTGATTCAAACGTGTGTTAATATTGTTAAAAAATAAATTATTTATTACATTTGCCCAGAGAATGATCTGCAATCTAAATCTGCAATTTAGAAAGAATAAAAAAATTATCTAAAATTATTTATATTCGTTAATAAAGTTTTGGTATTTTTCTACACATTCCAAGTTTTCCGCCTAATTTATGTAAAATGATGAAAATTATTTCACTAAACAAAAATGAATTTTACTTTTTTTTTAATTTTAATCTCTTTCAATTCCTTATAATAAATTATAAATTGCACTTTTCCAGAACGAATATTTATAACATTCAATATTGTTTTGTTTGTTGGTTCAGCACGTGTAAGTCGCACAGCGAATGAAGTCAATCTGATAATTATATTATTTGCTTAGCGCGCGGCACTTGCACGGCGAACCCTCTCGCAACAACTGTATGCATTAGTTAAATGCAGGTTTAAGTGTGTTGCATAGAGCACTGACGTGCAATAAGGGTGGAGGCGGAACCACGAATGCTCACACGCTTGCCACGCTGGTAGTTCAAATTTACAAGAAAAGGAAGCCAGCTAAAATCTATGGCGGAAAAAGCGCTTTTAGTTCATGTGCATGCACTTAATGTTCTACTTGCTCAAACAACAACCGGCTTACGCTCTTGCATATTTATGCCCAATCTTCTCCACACCAACACATGCATGCCTTTCTCTCTCCAGTGTAATAATTTTCGCGGAAAAGTGAGTGTATGTATTTCTACTCCAGCGGAGAATGTATGTAATTTTTCACCGCCGCGCACTTTCCTATATGCTTAGGGTGATTTGAGGGGTTTCTGTGTGTCGACGCTTTTGTAAGCGCAGTTGTGTGCACAAAGTTTTATTGGATTTGATTTGCTGCGCGCGTGTCAGTATTACAAAATTGTGTGTAGAAATCAGCGAGCTAAAGAAAAATGTGCAATATTTATCAATATTTACTAAAAGCAGGAAAACAAGAAATTGTTGAAAATGGAAATCTATTTAAAATATTTAATTTAAATCTATCTAGTTTTGTTGATCAAAATGGCATGTAACCACAATTTTTGTTTGAAGAATCTAAAAAAAATGAAATATTTTAATGACTGCCTTGGAAAAGCTACTAAATAAGATCAAACTTTTTTGCATTCAAAATTTAAAAAAAAAAAAAATATTTCTTTTTTTAATATACAATTTCAACGAAATTGAAAGAAAATCCGATTTTTTTTAATCAAACAAAAAAATTCAATCATAGATAATTTTATTCGACATTAATATTTAATTTGTTTGAAGAAGTTGCCACTCGAGGAGATGATCATGGAAATGAAGCGATCGGGCTTTTCCTCGTTGCAGAAAATTGTTTCACGGTCTGCGACCCTATTTCATGAGCAAGAAAAATACAAAAAAGCAGCAAAATTGAAAAAAAATCACATTTTTGTTTGTTTTAAGATTTTTAATTTTATGTTAAAATGTGGTTTTTTCAATTTTGCTGATTTTTTGTATTTTTCTTGCTCATGAAATAGGGTCGCAGACCGTGACCGAAACTGGTAGAGCCGTTTGTTTTTGAATAAAAACAATTTTCTGCAACAAGGAAAAGCCCGATCGCTTCATTTCCATTAATACTTAATACTTAAAACACAACTTGTTGAGTCGATTTTTCAGATATCTCTTATAAATCTATTTGTTTCAATTCATCTTATAGTTTCCCATCCTATTAAATGCTGAGAAAAATTTGGAAAGGAAAAAAATTACATAATCAAAATTTGTTTCCATTTACGGGTCATAATGGAATTTTTGATAGGGTTGAAATATTAACAATTTCAAATATCCAAAAATTATTATTAAAAAATGTAAAAATAACTTCCTGCAAAGTTACTGGTTTCTAGATTTATGTGAATTATTCTTATTTCAAGTATTATTTATTATTCTCAATAGAATTTGACTGTAAAACTTTTTATGTAAGGGAAGTTTCATGAAAATTTTAATGATACAATAATTTACTTTATCTGCATTTTGCATCTGAGAAATAAACTGAGCTTAACAAATTTTAAATCACAATATATTTTACCGTGTCTCGAACGAAACTCATTTCAGCAACAAAAGTGTTAATGCAGAACGAAAGGGTTATTCGCGCTCAAATGAGTGTGGCGGGCACGCTCGATGTGCGGCCCCGAGATGCAGAACGGACGCAATTTCAAATCAAAGTGCGGAACCAATCGGTGGAGAGAGGGTTTAGGGGTTGCTTTTATCCGCACACACAATGGAAAAAAAAGAAAAGAGGGATGCTCTCTGCGGAACATTAAAGTTATTTGTACTCCCGCGAGAGAGCAAGTGTTTTGGCCAACTGCATTACACATTAGGGGTTGGTAATGACATGATATCAAGTGCTATCTCCTCGCACGAAAAATTGCGCGCACCCCTTCCAGAGATACAACAGATGCAAGAAGTGAGTGGTCCGGCCTTTTCACTTTTCATAAATTTATATATCGCTTGATAATTCATTACGGTTTGCAACATAAAAAGGGACGCGCGCGGTACGGGGTGGTTTGTTGAGTTGGAGTTGCTGACGTGCAACCCCTCTCAATTTGCGAGCACAGCATTCTCCAAAGTCACTCTGCTGTAATTATTCAAGTCTTCTCCTACATGCATTGTGAGCCGCGATCAATTACTTTTTGTGCAACAAACATGCTGCACTCGCTCTTGAGTAATCGGTTAATTTGTCGCGCTTAACTAACACACACTTGTTTGCCACAAACTACAATTTTTCACTTTCTGTAGCTTGCAAAATAATTTTAATAGAAATACACATTCATATCTCTAATTCTATTATTAATTATTTTTGTGTAAAAACATTTATATCAAATTAAATTTAATTTACAGATTTATTTATTTCATAAAACATTCTAAATTTCATTTGCATTAAAAAGCTGCTATATAAAACTAAACATTTTCTTTTTAAATTAAATTTTGTTTATATAAATTACACATCAGCACAAACAGAAATAAAATGTAAATTATACACTGTTATAAATGGGTCGCTATTGCATGTGTTTTTATTTAAATGGCACAAAATTAAGTCAATTAAGTGCAATATAATTATTAAATATTAATTGGTTTTAATTATTCCAATTGCAGGCGTGGGTCCCCGGCCCAACCAAGACTACTCCAGCCGAACCCTGCCACCCGAGCAGGGCAGTTTCATCCCCCAGTTGTGCCAAACATCCGCCAAGACGTTGATAGGACCAAGCCTGGTGGCGGCCGGGCGGGAGGGCGGCTGCTCCGAGGCCTTCTGGAAGATGCCCCACAAAGGTGAGTCGGCTAAATTACTCCAATCCTCGCTCAGCACCTTTTCCTCTCAAACCGCGTCTCGTATCCAATTACAAAAAAAAATATCCACCTTGCAGCATCAGGAACATTTTAATTCCTCCTTAAAAAAAGTATAGCATATTAGGCGTTTTTTCACTATCACGTTGTTAATAGAAAAGTCGATCTTTTAATTCTTTTGTGCGCCTTTCAAGAGCTACCAAAAAAAGATCATATTACATCTTTCATCGTTTCTGAATTCGGGATATTAAAAAAAATCTGAGAATTTTCAAAAATCAAAGGACTTTGACAAGAATTATTCAAAAAAACTTTTGTTGTTTCGTTTTGTGTGGAACATCAAAGTTGACAGACAAATTTGTGAGGTTTGGCCGGTTTGATTTTCCGAATATTTCACGCTTGCTTGCACGCAGGCGCTTTGCAATTTATTTTATTCGCCGTGTAGTGCGAGCGAGCCGAAGCCACCACAAGCTGCAACCATTCCGTTATTGGCGCAGGGGCTGCTGCTGCTAGGGGCAATATTCCCTGCTGCTGACGCCGCCGCCGCCGCTGCTTCACTTTGGTCTGCTGCACCCCTAAACCGAGGGTGAAAATGGCGTCTGCTTCATCGAACATGTTGTATCCCTCTCTCTTTTCGCGCGCCCCGAGACCTCTTTATAAATTTACAACCACGTGCTGAGGGATTTCCTACTTTATTTTATTTTTATTTTTTATTATTATATTTTTTCTTCTCCGCATCTAATTAAAAACAAACAGGAGTATAAGAAAAACGCCGAGTGGCAATTTGTTTGCAAATGATCCGAAAACATGCAAACGCCGAAAAACAAGGAGAGAGAGAGAGCAAAGCAAACAGCCACTTTCTCTCTCCAACTGTTTGCACGTCGAGGCAAAAAAAAGCGGCGAGGAGCGAATTGAGCCGGGGCAATAAAAGAACAATTAATTAGCGCCCGGCTTGTTGTTTGAGCTCGGCGGGCGCGGCATTAGAAAGAAAGAGCAGAAGTGCGCGCGCGATTTTACACGCCGGAGTGGGTATTCCACCCGCCTTGCACACGAACACTGCTGGATTACACCCAGAGCGAGCATTAATTAAGGCCTGTAAGAGGCCAATATCCGAAACACGTGCCAGGTAAATTCTTCACTCACTTCCCTTTCACGGCTCATTACTTAATGACGATTAAAAACAAAACTTATAATATAATAAGTATAAAATAAATAAACATTTTATAAATTAAAAACCTCTTTTTTTAAATGTTTTTAATTAATGTTTTTGATTTAATAAAATATAATTTTTTATTTTTAAGCAGTTAACATAATTTAGCAAACAGAATTAATTACAAATAACAAGAATATTGTCATTGCAAGAAATACGCATCTTAATTATTTTTAAATATTAAATTTTCATCACAATCGCCACTATGTTCACATCCTTTAAATATATAAGTACATATTATTTAAACTGGGTTTCGTTTCCTCTTTATATGTTGTGTAATATGCATTCTATTCAAATTAAAAAAAAAGAAAATAAATTTGACAATAACATAAATGTACGGCGGAAGAATTTGTTATGATTATATAGCATAAAATTTGGTATCATCCAAAAGTTTTTATTAAAATGTGTTTCTTCCATTGAATCAACATATTTCTATTATTTCATATAAACCAAAATTCAACGCGTGCGCTGTTTATAATTTCTTACTTTTTCCCATCTTCTCAGCATAGAAATCTCTGTTGCAAACTGCTATAAATTTCCATATTTTCCCCGTATTTATATATATTTCCTGCAGCATTGACACCCGCGGCCTTTGATGTTGATCAAGTGAGCTAATCCGCGCTGAATTTATTATGTTCCGCGTCCTTTCAGTCGCGCAGAGCTCACGCCATACACCTTTTTCGCTTTTTTCCTCCACCGGTGCAAAGCGAGGGCGCCCGCGCGCGATTACTTATTTTATATTTGTGCGCCTCGCGTCCTCGTCAGTCGGTTCCACGTCGCCATTTAATAAAATTTATATATAATTATGCTGTGGGTTGGTGCGAGCGAATGAACGAACCGCGCGCGGAGCAAGAGTGTGGTTTTGCAATTACTTTTGCGTGACTTGCTCGCAGTTTCTTGCTGTCGCGTTCACTGTTTTGTTTGCTATGTTAATGCACGTGTGAGAAATTTAATTATTCGGTGCACACCTCACTTTTCTTTGATGAATTAATACGCCGCCGACTCCGTCTGTGCCGCTAAACGTGGGAATATTCGCTCATTTGTTATTTAATTAGCTTGTTTGGAAAAATTAACATTCTTGTTTTATAAAAAATTTCACGCAATATTATATTTTTTTCAAATAAATGTATCGAAAATTAGATTTATACAGCCTCTGTTCAATTTTTGTTTTGTTTTTTTCCATCAAACATGTCTTTAAATGCTAAATTATTTCGTGTTTATTTTGTATAATTTCAAAAATATCAGCCCTTAGAATAAATAAAATACTCTGCTCAAACTGCTAATTATTTGTATCAGATTTGTAAAGTTTATAATTTATAGTTTTTATTTATTTTAATGCAATTTTAAAACTATTACCTTTAAAGTGCAGAAAATTATTGGTGCAGCTAATCCCTTTAAATTTCAAATTTTGAAAGGCTGATTCTCTTCGTACATTTTATTAAAATTATTTTAAAACGACGTTTTATTGTTAAATTCTTATCGTTTTGTCAAGTAAAGCAATTTCAGCTCAAAATTAATTAATTGTATTTGCCTTTCAATGTTGAAATAAATTGGACTTAATTAATTGGAATTTATAATTTATTATCAATATTTCATCTATAGGGTCCAAAAATATTATTTTCTGATTCAATAATTAAAATTAAACTATAACTTTAAACCTTATTATGTCTTTTTCCTTTTAAAGTCCCACTTTTTAAGCAAAAGCTGGCTTATATGTGTAAAGAATCACTTTCTCAGCAGCGTCAAACTCGTTTTCCACAAATCCGCATCCAATTGGAATTGCCGAGTGTGTGCGAAAAATAAATTCAGCGGGCAAACGCCGTGTGCGACAGTTCAAAATACACAGCCGGCTGGAAAGGACCCGAGAGTGCGTGGAAGGTGTGAGCAGGGCTGGGAGTTTGGCAGGATGAATCTGCCAGGCGGCCAAATCGCGTTTCACACTGGTTGACTCCACACACCTGTCCCAGTCACTGCTTTCTGCTCCGAGAGCGCCGAACGAGTGAACGCGCCAGCCACGTTATCGACTGCCGCCGCCGGGTGACGTCACTTTGCACCCCTTTTGATCCGCCGAAAAATCGCACCCTTTGAATCGAATTACCAAAAGCAAAGGTAGCCTCTCCCCGTACACGCAATAATATTCTGCGGCGGCGGGGGCGGTCGAGATTGCGGCACCTCTGGCCGCATGCCGAGCATTCCCTTGGGCCACCAACAACCCCCGCCCCCTGCTGTTTTTCCAACCCCTTATTTGGTTACGCAGCAAAAAACAATAGGATTTGCGCTGCGAACGTGGTTTTCTCGCTGCGAAACTTAAATAATGCATTAAAATTTTACCACGCTGAATCTGGGGGTTGGAAAATTTAGCTCTTTGAAAGGGTGGGAAAGGGCTTGGACTGTGTTGATATAAAAAGAACCGTCAAACTCTTCTAATTTAATGTGGAATTCTGAGACTGAGCAAAAAACCCAATGCTTTGAGATTTTGAGAATCTTATTTTTAAAATTGTCCAATTATTTTTGAAAATAAACTTTGAACATAGATTTCACGGGTTAAAACTTGTTCATATTACTCATTTTTGTAGTAATTAATAGCTTATTTTCAAAATCAGTTTCCGAATTCCAAGCTGAATTTTGAAAATAAAACGTTACCAGGCAAAACTGCAAACATTTATGAAATTCGCTTTGATAAAAAAAAACTCATTCTGCTGGCTAATTTTATTTTTTCCATTTCATATTTCATTGGGTAAATTCATTCAATAAAATTTATTTTTATTCAATTTTTTATTAATTTTTTTAACGCTATATTTTGTATGTTAAACATGTTCGATCTATAAAGGCAACATTTCACAAATTAAATATAAATTGAATAAAATTATTTTATTAGAAATGCATCTTTTTTTCTCATTTTATTTCGCTGTTTTTTTTTTATTGATTTGGTAGAAAATACCCCTTAGTTTTCTGCTGACAGTCGGAATTTTATTTTATTGTTCAAAATTTTTACCTGGTGCAAAGGACATTTTTCGCCCTTTCGAGTGCTATAATTGCAAGCGTCCGGCGCTCGCTTTTTATTCGCAACATTTTATTAACATCATCAGTCCTAGCTTATAATAATCTGCGTCCATTTTATGCTCAGCAGAGTGGAAGCTTTTTGGAACTAACTACCACCACTGTTGCTTTTATATGATGATGATGCGCTCGCTCTCTCGCTGGTTGGTCGGTCCGTCGGTTGGTTGGTCGGGTTGGCTCTTTCGCTCGCTCCGCATGAAAATAAATTCTGCTTTTCAGATTAGCTTTCGGGGAATGGAATTATAGAATGGATTTTGCAAAATAAAAACCCGGCCGGTCCGCCCGCCCGCCCGCTCGGCTCTCGCTCCATAATGCTTCACTGCGCGCTGTAGCCTGTTATAAAACCGAAAAAGGCTCATCCGCCGGCATGTAATTTTAAAATAAAAAGATAAATAAAATACGCACCTCGTCGGGCTGTGCCAAAATAAATGCAAAACGCTGTTCGGCTACATATTTCGTGTTTGCCCATTAAAAATAAATATTCTCTCTGTGTTTGCCATTTGCCTTAATATACGTGTTGTCCGTCTGTATACATGCAATATTTGCGGCCAGTCAGCGTTAGCGTCCATTAAAAGGATTACTTTAAGCCAAATAAGTCCCTCTTATTATTTGCAGCCTGAAAATGGACAGGGGCTGGTTATGCAACCGTGGCGGCTAATGTGCCGGGCAAAAAGCCTAGGAGCTAGTCAATCATGCATGGAAGCGGGATTTCCATTTGCGGATGCAGCTGCGGGGGTGTTCAAATTCAACCAAATTCAAAAAGCAAATATTGAAATTTTCATGGAATTTATAAATAAAACATCGCTGAAGCGCGACCACGATTAAAAAAGACATTTCAATTGGAAATTAACTTTTTGAAATATTGTGTGAATATTTTCAAACGGAACAAACACTGAAATGCTAACATAAATCAATTAAATATTGATGAATTTTATTTGTTAAGTGTAAAATTCTAAATCTCTATCAACTCATTTTTTATTTTAGTTATTTTGTGACAAAAAGAGAAACAAATTAATTTGAAAATTCTACAAATATTTCAGAATTTTTTAGATATTTACCAAAGGTTGTCTCATTCTATCTAGGAATTAATATATAATTTAACGGAATATGAATTGTTTAAAGGTTTATATTAAATCTTGGCAAAATTTTGATTAAATTGACTCTGTTATCCTCTTAAATAAATTCAAACGTTCGATATCCATGTAATATGTTTGATTGTTTTACTAAAGTCTGAACTGATGAACTACACAAATTAAATTTAATGACAGTATCCAGAGGTAATCCTGATGGTAAATTAAATTTTCCAATTAATGTGAGAAAATAGAAAAATGATAATGCAAATCACAAACTTTGATGTGGGCGATCCGAAAGCCAAACAAACTTGATCCGTCATTCAATTGAGACTAGGCCAGGTCAGGCTTTTGGATCGCCCTAATTATTTTTAAAATAAATTATAGAGTTTAAATTTCAACTCCAATTCAGAAGCCAGATATGCCTCTATCACTTAGCATTTCCTTCCATACAAAATATTAAATGTTGCCACACGAAAATCTCAGATTTCAAACTTTACAAGCTCAGGCTGTTACATCACAAAAGACGCACAGGCCTCGCACCTGTCGCCGCCCGAATTCGGATCACAGCAGACCACCCAGTTCTTTTTTTTTAGATAAATTTTCTTTATCTTCTTTCCTTCCCGTAGAGGTAGCTGAGTGCGTATTTGCTTGCATGCCATTATGAACGAGGGTTGCCAATGTACCGATCAGGCGTTTTCTCAGGTCTCCACCAGTCGACCCAGCTGTTAGGCGAGCGACTCCTGCTGCCCGCCTCCGACGGATCAGGTAAGGAAAACTTCTTTTTCTTTTATTTTTTATATACATTTGTAAGTCGATCCTCCTCCCATTTTATTCGCCCAACCCAACCGCATCAGATCTGTCGATATAAAAAAAAAGAATCTCAAATAATACAGTAAGAGACGTGCAAACAAAAGCTGGGGAAATTCTGAAAGATGCCATTTCTCTTTCTCTCTCTTTCTCGGCGGCTCCTTGGGTTAATGAGGCGCGACCGTGTAAATAGGCCACTTGCTGATTTCCAGTTGTCGCCCGTGAAATTGCATTAAGGTTGAACATTACATGCAAAATTGAGGAGCTAGCGACTCGTGATAAAAGGGGTGGTGGTTTTTGTTATGTGACGAGGGTGACGCCGGCGGTGCTCGTCGTTTTGCATGGCTAAGTAAATAGTCACCACAGGGCACGTAGAGAGAGGGAAAGAGCGAGAGAGAGAGAGAGAGAGACAGACGGGCACGCCGACGCTTCCCGAGTGGCACCTCGCGCGACCAGAACTACCCCCGCTCACCCCCTTAACGCGGGGAGGAGACACACAAACACGCAAAACACAACAATCCACACACGAAATTCCAAAAATACAATAACTTCAATATTTAAATGCAGGAAAGCTATTTTAAAAAAAACAAAGTTGGTACCTTTTTTCAAAATTTAGTTTGAGAAATGTTTCAATTTTTTTTTTTTTTAATATTTAGAGACCCTCTTTCATGTGTGAAATAATAAATATAAAAATGTTTTCGGTTAATGAAAGATTTAATTGTTGATGAACCCTTTAAATATTATTTTCAAATTAAAATAATTATCGTGGTAAGAAATACACATTGATCTTTTTTTTGGATTGTTTACGTCCGTAAATTATTATTCAATCTAATGTGAATTAAAATTTCTTTGATTAGTTCTTTTTTCTCGTAACAAACAAAACACATTTTTTTTTGCTGTGCACGTTTTGATGTTTTATTTGAATTTACAAAATGCTTGGAATCTCTTAATAAATACTTTTTGTTGCTAGAAATTTGATGAATATATCAAGTGTGAGCAGCGAATTTCAAAATCGTTTGCCTCATTTGACTAAGACTTTGCTCTGCAAATTGTTTACGAAGGTCACAGCGGAATCAACCAGCTCGGAGGAGTTTACGTCAACGGCCGTCCGCTGCCCGACTCGACCCGCCAGAAAATCGTCGAGTTGGCCCATTCTGGGGCCAGGCCGTGCGACATTTCGCGCATTCTTCAGGTCTCCAACGGCTGCGTTTCCAAAATACTAGGAAGGTAAGCAAATTGAGGTTTAAACAAAAAATACTTTTTATTTATAACAGAAAAAATTGAATAGCATTTTAACTAATAATTGTGAATTATTTAATTTTTATACACCTAATGTTTATTAATAAAACTTAATATTTATTATTTACATATTTTATTTATTTATTTATATTTATTAACTATCTTGATTTATAGTTACATCCCAAATAAGAACATTGTGCAAAAAAAAGCGGAAACAGCATCAAAATAAAAAAGTAAAAATATAAAAATAAAACATGCCAGAAACAAAAGAGTCGATAAAAAGTCTTATTACAGAACATTATGTAAAAATGACAAGATCTAGAAATAAATTAAGAAAATAATATTTTCATAAACAATATATAAATTGGAAAAATAATTTATTTGATTTTATGCCCTTGACTTGAGTTGAGAGTTAAATGAACTCAGATTCAGATTCAGAATTATTTTTATTTCATTAAGTCATCAACGAATTGACAACTTTTAAAATACGTCATTCACATATTTATACAATTTACAAATCAAATTTACAACTGAAAAATTCGTTCAGATTTTTTCAGTTTCACTATTTTCAGAAATTTGTACATCTGAATTATCTCGTTAGATATCAATTCAGCACAAAATGACGCGGACTGAAGAGCCTGCTCTAATTTTTTCTCCTTTTTTCTGCTTGTGAACACATTCAACTACGTCACAATTTGTATTTTTCTACTTTTTGTGCGATGGCTGTGCGCGCTTAATTTTCTGGCTCATTTGCATCAGAACAGGCGACACAAAAGCCGGCCTGCTTTTTGCTATTCATAACGAGGTCTTCTCTGTGGCGCGGGATCTTTATTCGCGGTGCTTTCTTTTTGTGTCCAGGTACTACGAGACCGGTTCCATCAAACCTCGAGCAATAGGGGGCTCGAAACCCAGAGTGGCCACCACACCGGTGGTTTCCAAGATCGCCGACTACAAGAGGGAATGCCCGTCCATCTTTGCCTGGGAAATCCGAGACCGACTGCTCTCCGAGGGCGTGTGCACCAACGACAACATTCCTAGCGTGAGTACTCCTTTTTTTTCAATATTATATTTGCACGCATTTGATCGGTGGAATTCGCCGACGCCGGTAGCTTTTTTGCTTAGCGAGAGGAATTTCCAGCTCCATTGCGGAGATCGAGAGACGCGGGCTTTAATAGCCTCTTATATTCTTAACGTCCATTGCGTGACTGCCGCGAATTTCGCCATTTTTTTTTTATTTCGGTTCGGACTACGTGGAAGGTCACACACGTGGTCAGTTGGGAATTATTATTATTATTTAGAAAAGTGATTTAAAATTACCAAAAATCACCAAAAATAATTTTAGTTGCAAATTGTGTTTATTGATATATCACAAAGGCAATTGCTGCCCATAACGGGATATATCATTTATATATTCTAAATTATACAAATTCAATACAATTGAGTGAAAAGATGATAATTTCACAAACAAAATTTTCCAATTACAAAATACAAACAAAAAGAAAAATAACAATAATCAAGTCGTTTGGACTTTTATTTTTTTTCTGGATGCTGAAAACTTGCGTTTAGATGACTGCCTGCATGATACTTCTGAATGCCGCTTCGTTCTTTTGCTCTTAATCCTGGTAAAAAACTGCAGCTTTTTAAAGCATTGTACTGACAATGAGAAGAAATCTTTTAATTTTTCTCCAAATGTGGTAGACTTAGATTTTGATGGAAAAAGTCCTAGAAAATATTAGATTTGATATTTTAGCAGGTCACTTTTTAAAATTTTTTTATTATTTAATTTTTGGTGTAGCATTTAATTGAAAAATTTGTTTAATTTTTTCTCTTAAAAAAAAAAAGGAAAAAATCGTTCCAGTGCTACAAATTTTGAATCAAATTGACTCAATTCGCAATATAAATATTTTAAAAAATTAATTTTGATCAAAAGGAGTTTCTCTTTAGTCTAATAAAAATTTTTTTTAATGAATAAGAAGGCAGACAAAAACTTAAATAATTCTGCGTGTTCTTAAAGTGCCCGCTAATAAATAAAAATTGCTTTTTATAGTTTGATTATAATGGACATTTAAATCTCAATCCTCATTCAATAAAAAAAAAAAATGATAATAAGTAATTTTTTGATGAAAATTGTGGCTTCAAATTACTGCCATAACTGCCTCATGTAGCGCTCTATGATATATTTATGTACAAAAATACTTTGAACAAACAGCAGATGTTGCGAACAATATCAAATGAAAAATGGCCTCCTTTGAAATATTATTATATTATTTATTTCCCGCTGGGCACAAAAAGCGGCGGATCCTCTCCTCTTTCTCTCTCTTCTCATCCGTGTATTATAAATAAATGTACGAAAATGAATCGCGACCGCATTTGCGAGTGTGCGCTCGTTGATACACTTTTCGCCCCGGCTTACAAAAGGGGCCGAAAAATGGCTCGGTATATTAATATTTAATACACATTTTCATCTCCAACGTACAAAGAAATGTATCGAGTTTCGCCTGCCATCAGGTTCGGCCTTTTTCTTAGCTTGCCGACCGCAAAACAAATCGCGGCATATCATTTTAAAAACCTCATTTGAATAATTGCCTTCATGAGCCACGGATTCGTCATTTTTAATCGAAATGACAATCAAAAGAAATAAAAATCAAGGGAAGATTTTCGCTTTTGTTTGCTCAAAATGCGGTTCGCTTTCGCTAAAGTTCATCAAAACTATACTCTCTTGACTCTCGTAATCATAAAGAGCGCGGCATCATCTCGTTATAATGCACACAATAAAGTCTTCCGCCGACTAAATATTAGCTTATGAATTGTGTGTAGTAGTAACTCTACTAGACGAATCTCCCGACGGCTCTCTCTCGCTGCTTTTGTTGTGTGTGTATGCAAAACTTTCGAGAGGCTCAATCTCTCTCCTGCCTGCCTCCTGCAGCTATGAACCAACTCAGCACTTGACGGGATAAGATAATTTATATATTTGACTAATGAATAAAGGAGCAGAGCACTCTCAAATTAGAAAAAAATTCGCCCACTTACGCATTTTATCGATTAATATTATTCAAATGCAGAACTACTACATACAATTATTTTAGAATTTATAATGATTACAAGTGAATTGAAATTTTTTAATTAATTTGAATAAATATACTTTCTTGAATATTTAATTAAAAGATGAAAATTGATCTTTTGAAAGCATCGCAGTTTCACTTGCTCAAATTTGGAAATCACCATTAATTCATCATTTTATTGAATGGTAACACTCGAGGTGGATTTCATAAAAGATTGAAACCGGGCGAACCTCGTTGCAAAGAAAAAATGAAAAAATAAAGGACAACTGACCCCAAAGGCGACCTGCGGTCTGCTGGTACTTTAAAACCTAGGATTTCTTGTGTCCGACTAAAACTAAGTGGGAGGAATCAATAAAAAATAAAAATAAAATGGGATTTTTTAATTTTAATAAACAAAAAATTGCAGAAATTAATTAAGCAAAAGAGTCAGTCAACAGCTTCATACTGTGATTTTGGCAGAAATTTCCAGGGCAATGAACCCAAAGACTTTTCTGGCAAAATCACAGTAATCTGCCGCACTACTGGTTAGGACAGCTGTTTCGGCCAATCCAGGCCTCATCAGCTAACCTGAGTGCCGGTCCTCTCCTTTCGGAGAAGTCCGAGAGACTGATGCTGAACGGTGGCTGCTGCGGGGTTTTTTTTTTTTTTTTTTTTTTTTTTTTTTTTTATTAAAATTAAAAAATCCCATTTTATTTTTATTTTTTATTGATTCCTCCCACTTAGTTTTAGTCGGACACAAGAAATCCTAGGTTTTAAAGTACCAGCAGACCGCAGGTCGCCTTTGGGGTCAGTTGTCCTTTATTTTTTCATTTTTTCTTTGCAACGAGGTTCGCCCGGTTTCAATCTTTCATCATTTTATGTATGTATTAAAATTTGAAACTGAAATACATTAAAATATTTTAACGTAAAATTAGTTACCTTTTAAATTTATTTAATATGAACATAAAGTTAATTTAACTATTGATATTTTTACTTATTTTATCATTTTTACTTGATTTTCACGAATAAAATAATAAAATTTACCATTGGTGGTCGCGTGAATACTGAAATTTTTATTTTTAATTGATTCAATTTAAATCTTAATAAATGTCAACTTCAACTGCTGAGAGATGCGTTAATATAATTATTAATATCACGATCCTTCTCAAATTTCAAACATCAGTGAGTGTAATTCAATTCAATTTTCAATTCAATTCAATTTTGCAAAATTTTTGCAACCTACTGGCCTTTAGTAAGATGTATTTTGACGTTAGACAAATTTTTAATTGTATTGAACAATATACCAAATATTTTGAATTTAAATTATAAGCGCCCGTTTAGTGTTCCATAGAATAAGGCAATAATATAGTGAAATTAAAGTTTTATTCTCACTAAATTTGCGGTGTAATTTAAAGCCTTGGTAGAAAAAAAACTGGCCTTCCGCGGAATTAAGCAAGGCGTAATGGCATCTCATTAATAGACCAGCACGCGCAAACGACGTCGCCATTAAATTGGCCTTGTGGCGCTCGTCAGCAGCGCTTTGGTTTTTTGTCCCGCGGCAAATCCCAAAATTGCTCTTCGCTCCACCCGTTGGACTGAAATTTCTCTCTTCTTTTTGTGCTCAACACCACTAATTGAGAGCAGCTATAGGGGGTGGCGTTTAATTAAGCATTTTTTTTTTTTACTATTTCCCAGACGATTGTTAAGCCGGTAATATGCAGGGCCGCTTTTCATCTGGTGTTGACTGCGAGTGGATTCGAACCGCATGCATGCAGTTTTTGAATGCGAGCAGTTAAGCGTGGCTCGATTCGTGTCCACTGATATGTGAAATAACGTGGGCAGGCTGCATTTTCAGTCCGCGTGCTCGAACTCCACATTAGGGTGCACGTTTAATGAAGCCATCCGTCGACGCGCTTTCTTTCTGCATAACTCGATTTAAAATTAGCCCACTGCTTGATATGTAAATTTAATTTGCGCAAAAGGATCAAGAAGGAAATCTCTGCGGTATTTTTGTCAAATCGAACGCAACCCCTTTTCATTATCATTAGCCGGTTTTATTTGGAAGTAACCAAGCGTGCAACCCCTTATCAGCCGCAGCTTTTTACTTGCCTAATCTTTCGCGTTCTGTCGCCGACATGTAAGCGCGGACCAGCAGCGTCGCGAAATCTAATTTTAGATTATCTGCTTCAAGTGTTTAACTCGATTTCTATTCATTCAGACCAAAATGGGAAAGGGAAGAAAAGATAAGTTTGCTTGATGAATCACTTTTTTATGTTTAATTATAATCCATCAATTGTAGTCTCTTTAATTTTTGTCCCAGTTTTAAGCGTTAAATTTCTAAAATCACACGAATTTCATACAAGTTTTTGTTGTAATTTTTTATATTTTAATAAGAAAAGAGTAAATTATTTAGAGAAGTTGATTGTTATCAAACGTGGGTTGACAAAAAAAATAATTATATAATAAAATTAATCTGGGCTCACTGCGGTATTTTTTATTTGAGAAGTTTTAGCAAAACTCTTACTTGTGGTAGTGCCGTTTTGTCCAAAAATTCCTTTCTTTTTAATTAAATTGTTTTCAATAAATGAAAAAAAAATGATGTTGTGTAAAAATTAGGACAGTTAAACATAAATAATAAATAATTAAAGCATTAATTTTTGTTCAAATACATGCAATCATAATATGATTCAGTATTCTTTTGATAAATTCAAGTTTACCGATTTTAATTTCCTTTGAAATTAGGGAAAGAAATTTATACAAAACATGAAAAGTTTAGTTCGAGATGTCGCGGTGAACATCAATGAGCGAGTGTCAATTGCAAACCGACAATAATTGAAAGACGCGGGTCAGCAGCGAGAACAATGCACGTGACGTCAGAGCCGGCGGGCGAGCGCGGACAATCTGCGTGCTCGTGACATCATCCCTAGCATTATTATTTCTCGTCAATGACACAATACGCGTTTTCCGCGGTTCTGTATGACAATTTCTCGCCTGCAGT